AAAGCCACTTTTTATAATAACCTCAATTTTTTCATGTGTTAGTTTATTACGTCGAGGGGAAAAATTTAATGTCAATTATTTTGGGGAAATATTTGCTTGTTCACCTTTGTTTCTTTGTATTCTTTTTTTAACTGTAATTAATTTATGTTTTGAAATTTAATTTCTTAATGCTTGTTTTGTTGATGTTTGTTTATAGTATTTAAAATGAATTTGTACAAGTTATGTATGTCAGATGAATAAGATATTTATCCATGTATGTACACAATTGATTATCTGTAATTATCTGTTTTCATGCTTTATGAAAATTTGTGCATGTGAAATACATTTTGGATACTTAGGTATATTTTAATTGTAACTTTTTAGCACTTCTTACTTTCATGTATTTGATAACATTTAAATGTATTTCAGATATTTATTGACATAAGTAAGCATGGATTCTGAAATTGATATAGAATTATCAAGTGATCAAACTCAGAAGGTTTCACACATAGACGATGAGAAAGAAAATGAAAGTTCAATTGATCGTAGTAATGACATAAATACTAGTATAGATGAAGTACAGCAAGGATCGTCGGTTCTTAATGCAAATAAAGAAACTGTGGATGAAAATGAAATGAATGAAAAAGTAATTAATGAATCAGATGAAAAGCATAAAAAAAAGTCTGACAAAAGTTCAGAAAATGCAGAAGTGTCAAATGTTGTGTCTTGTCAAGAAAATATTTCAAAAGAAGGTAATTCACAAGTGAATCCATTAACTGTCCAAGAAAGTAATATAACAGATACAGATTATAATGATACACAGTCACCAACTTTGGCTGAAAGTACTACAAAAACTGTTTCACAGGAAGAAAGTAGAAAAATAACATCAGTGGCATCCATCACATTAAAAGTTAATACAGACAGTTTGTCAGGTAATACAAATACCACAGAATGTGCAGAAATTCAGTTAAAGGATACACCAGAGGAAATGGCAAATAAAATTTTAAAAGTTGTCAATGTAGATGATGCAAATAATTTAAACTCAGAAAAAGAAGTTAACGATAATGTGTCAGAAGGTAATAACGATAATTTAAATACTAAAAAGACTGATTCAGATGAAATATTAGAAGATTGTGATAGGATTGAGACAAAGAAAAATACTATTGAACCAGAAAATACAGAGTTTGTACAATTTTCCCAAGAAAAGCATGGAGATGTACAAATTGAAAATCAATCCATGGATGCTGAAGATCCTTTTGGAGGAGATAATCTTACTGCGGAAAATGTTGAACCAATGGACACAGATGATCTTAATGTAACTGATGTAGAATTTTCTAAATTATGTAGTCAAACAGATAATCTGCAAGATATTGTAAATAGCAAAGAAAACAGTTTTAGTAATAATAAGAAGGATAATAAGGAAGATAAAGATAAAGATACTTCAGATACAGTAAAAAATGCTGATAAAAATCGGAACGAAAGTGCAGTTGAGGTAGAACAAAATGAAAATGTAAGCGTAGAAGTTGCAGGTTCAACTAAAGAATGTAATGATAAAACAAAGAAAATTCTTGATGAAATAACACCGATGGACACAGAAGAACAATCGGAAGTCTTACCGGGACAAGATGACGAATTGTGTATTATTCCAGATAGTATGAAAGTAATAATTCCTGGCCAAACAGAAAAGTCAAACTCTAATAATACAGAATCTTTACATGAAGGTAGTCATGAGCATAATGAAGATAAACGAAGCGGTCAAAATAGTGAATCACAAATTGATATAAACAAAGGCTTACAACAAAATTTAAAAGAATCAAATATTGTAAATGAAAATAATGCAAAAGATACAGAAGAAAAGATACAAAAAGAACAAGATTCACATACTAAGGTTACAGCTTCAAATGCAGATGTTATTAATATTGACGAAGAGTCGAAAAATTCTGAAATTGAAGAAATCACAACTAAAGAAATTTGTAAACAATGCAACGAAGAAAGATCGTGTAAGATTAAAGTAAAAATTGGTTTTGATACCTACAATGTATGTTCAAAATCTTGTAAAGCATTATTCAAAGCAGCTAATAATAGAGCTATGGATATACCCAGTGATGGAGTTAATTCTAAAAGAGAGAAACGTTGTGCAAACTGTTTACTAATTGTTGAATCTAACGATGAACGTAATCTTTCCTGGGAAACAATGGAATTCTGTAATGAGGAATGTCTAGGCAAATTTCAAACGAAATATGGTAGTTATTGTAGAAATTGTAATGGTTCAGTACAAGCAGTAAGTTTAGGCAAATATTGCGTACGATTTGGGTATGATGTTAGGCAGTTTTGTTGTTCAACATGTTTAGAAGAATTCAAGAAAGGACTAAAAGTATGTAGTTTTTGTCAAAAAGATATAAGTTCTAGCACAGAAGGTTTTCTCGCACCAGTTGGCGATAGAGGACAATTTAAAGATTTCTGTACTCAAGAATGCATGGAAAAGTATTCAAAAATGAGCTCTGTTGAACCTCCAGTTCTGGAAAAAAAATGTTGCAGTGTTTGTGAAGAAGTAAGAAATCATCTTCATTATTTATATTTATACTTCTATTTGTATTTGTAACATAAAGTGAACATTATTTACATTATAGTATTTTTTTTAACAGGAAAAAGTCGTACATTGCGAGGTTCAAATAGATAGATCCGAGCCGGTAGCTATTTGCAGTGAACCATGTTTTGCAGCATTCAAGTTTGTCAAAAAAGTTGATCCTGACCAATGTTCTACATGCAAAAAGTTTTTTGAATTACCTAACAAAAAAAGTTCTGTTGTATTTTATGAAAATGAAGCTCATATGTTCTGTTCTAAAACTTGTTTGAACATATTTATTATTACGAATAGAAAAATCGTTCCATGTAATTGGTGCAAAGTAAAAAAATATAATTTTGACATGATCAAGAAAGAATTGAAAACAGGTCAGGTGATGATGATGTGCAGTTTAAACTGTTTAACGCTATATCAGGTACAGAATGTTCACATTTTATTGATATGAAGTAATATTAAGATTAAATTAATTTATTCTTAATTATATACAGGTTTCTATCAATGCAGTTTCGGCGAAGCGAATAAATTGTGACTTTTGTAGAGAATATTCACAAGCTCAGTATCATTTAACCATGTCAGATGCAACGATACGGAATTTTTGTTCTTACCATTGTGTAATGAATTTTCAAGCTCAGTACACTAAATCCCCTATTACTATACCGGCAGGTGATGATCCTGTACCCACCGGTATGCCTAAAAGAACGTTACCACAGAGAAACACGAGTTCTAACAGTCAAAAAACTAACGATATGCAAAATAAAAAAAACATGCCAGTAATTTCCTCTGTTACAAGTTTAGCTGCAATAGGAAATGGACAATCTAGTCCAACAACTCAACAAAATAATGTAAATAGTATGGTGGTACCTTCGGTTACTATCAATCAAACTCAAACGCCTCAAGTTATTTATAAACAACACATTATAACAAGACCGCCAAGTCCGATTCAAATTCACAATAAAACAACACAGTGTAAGCCTGTGGTACACACTAAAGGAGTTTCAGTACGTCCACGTCCTTGTACAAAAGCTACGCAAACGGATGGGATTCAGCAAGCGGTTGTACCGATACCGGTTCCAATTTATGTTCCATATCCAGTACACATGTTTAGTATGCCTTTCCCGGTCCCGATGCCTTTTCCCTTACCAATCCCTGTTCCTATTTTTATACCTACAACAAGAAATAGTGCTAAGGGAATATTTAAAGATATTAAAAGAATACAAGAAAAGATACCAGCTGATCCTTTCGAAGCTGAGCTTCTTATGATGGCAGAGATGGTTGCAACAGAAAAAAAAACTAACGAAAGTGATTCCGATTCTGCGGATGATAGGTAACTATCAAATTTATAACTAACAATTGTTTAAAAAAATTCTCCTTTTTTCTTTTTCTTTTCTGTTTACTTCTTTTTACAGGGATGAAGATAATGGTGATCGTGATAATTCGCACAGTGGAGGTTTTAGCCCAGAAGGAGTTGATTCCAGTAATACGTTCGGTGATGATATGTTACAAATGGCTTTAAAAATGGCAACTGGTGAATTAGATGAACCAGCAGTTGATTTAGAAGCTGCTTTAACTCCAAACACAATTACTGCTACACAAACACCAACGCAGACTGATGCAGCTATGGAAAATGATGGTAACAACAAATTTATACTGTATCATATAAGCTTAAAAATTCTGTAATGATTGAAAATATTTGTCTAATATTCAGTTCAGTCGGAGCGACTGATTATTTCTTCCCGCGGAAGAAAACGAATGGTTCCATATAAGCCGCGATCTACCCCAAATAAACGAGGAAGGCGTGTATCTGGAGCAAATGATATACCTTTGATGCCACCTCCCGAAGCACAACCTCCGCCTCAACCACGTATTATAGAACCCATAGAAAAACCAGATGCAAACATGGCATTAAAATATACTTTTGGAGTAAATGCGTGGAGACAATGGGTAATTCATGCATATTATAATTTTATACTCAAGGTGAAAAAAAAAATATTAAAAATCAGTTCTCATTCAAAATAGGTAGTTACAAAAAATGCTGAACTAGAAAAACAAAGTACCCCAATGAGAAAGATGAAATTATTTAAAACAGATCTTTTACAACTCACAGCGGACGAGTTAAATTATTCATTGTGTCTTTTTGTAAAAGAAGTTAGAAAACCAAATGGAGCAGAGTATGCGCCTGACACGATATATTATCTTTGTTTAGGTAAGGGCGTCAATGAATTTCGTCAATTCGTCAATTCATTATAATTTTATATTACAGGAATACAACAGTATTTATTTGAGAATAATAGAATAGATAACATTTTCACGGATTCGTACTACGAAAAATTTACAGATTGTTTGAATGAAGTTGCAAAAAAATTTTCTGTTCTCTACAACGACGCACGTAAGTTAATTTTATTTCTTAAATCGATTTAGAAAGGTTATTACAGTAAAGTGCTTGTTCTTTATAGAATATATTGTTACACGAGTTGAAGAAGAACATTTATGGGAATGCAAACAATTAGGTGCTCATTCTCCTCATGTACTTTTAAGTACTTTAATGTTTTTTAACACTAAACATTTTAATCTTGTGGTACGTGTGAATCATTTTGATTTCAGTTTAGTATTAACATTTGTACATAAAAAGAAAAAATGCAAAATTACGAAATGGAAAAAAATGTTGTAGACAGTAGAAGAGCATATGCAGTTATCATTTTCTCATATTATGAAACATTGGAAACGTAATCCTGCCGCCCAACCGGCTGCAACAACAGGAAAGGTTCCAGGTTCTAGAAATGTTCTCCTTCGTTTTTATCCACCACAATCAGCATTGGGTTGGTATCGAGTAATTTATATTCTTAAATCATTACAAAATAATAAACTTCGAATATTTTTAGAAGGTAATTCACGCAAGAAGAAGGTATATGAACAACAAGAAAATGAAGAAAATCCATTAAGGTGTCCAGTCAAATTATATGAATTCTATTTATCCAAATGGTAAGTTTATCTATTTAAAACAATTAGATATTTATAAAAATCCATATAATATAGTGAAACTAAAACATTTCTATGGATTTTTAGTCCCGAAAGTGTTAAAACTCGAAATGATGTGTTCTATTTACTCCCTGAAAGAAGTTGTGTACCAGATAGCCCAGTATGGTATTCAACATCTCCACTGGCTAAAGAACACCTTATAAAAATGTTATATCGCATTAAAATGGTTAAAGAAATTAATGTGGCATTATTAACTAGTTAATTTCATATTCAAGTATTTATATCTTCTCTCTGTTAATTTGGACAACTTAATATACAAAAAATAATTGTTCTCTTATACATCAAATAAGAATGTTTGAAAAATGATGTAGTCATGAAAATTTTATAATATCTATTGTATATTTTTCACTTCCTAATAAAACGAGATTTTTTAACTGTATCTGTTGCATAAAACAAATCAATGTTAATGTAATAAGAAATATATTTAAATGTAATTCTATTTATAGTGAAACTATTATTATATACTTGTAAATTAAATATTTAAGTTATTTATGTTTTTACAGTCTGTAGAAGTTATTTAAGGAAAACTTAAAGTAATTTCTTAACGTACACAGCATATATATAACTGGGAAATTATATAACTTAGAAATATATATAACTCAAAATTAAATTTATACATTTTTCTTTGGTCTATGTAGTACACGCTGACGTTTTAATATATCCTTTTTCACTTCCAGTTGACGAAGTTCTGTGTGTACATCTGAGAATATTTCAATTTGTTCTTCTTCTGGAATGGTCTCCCTAATAAAGTATTCAAAATATGTGTTTAAATACATGTGCTTTAAAATAGCTTTTATACTTATATTGCTAAAATTTACCTATAAATTTTCATTAAATCATATTTCTCCCATGGTTTAGCAGCAGCTTTTGCCTTCTTTTGACGTCTTTCATTAACAACCACATCTTTAAGACCCTTTAAATCTTTACGTTCCCACTTTTCCAACCATGGTTGTGGTTTGAGTGGAACTTTAATGTCATTCACTGGAACAGGTCCTTCAGGAGTTATTTCTGTTTCCATGTCAAGTGGAAATGTACTATACTCTGGTGGTGCATCTCGGAGGTAAAGTAATTCATTATCCAATCTTTTTTCTAACCTGCAAATATAACAACACAAATATTTTATTTGATATATATATATATGTTTCATTTAGGCTAAATTCTATTCAAATGTAATAAACTCGTATTTACCTCAAACAATCAATTTTTTGAATAGCAGGATCATACAACATGTAACGTACTTCCACACCTTCTCCATTTATAACATTTCTTAAAATAAATGAAGCACGTAAGCCAGCACCTTCTCTTAAAATGCATATACCAACAAATCTGTTCACCTTTCCAGTTGCATGAGGCTCAGAATAATTGACTGCTAATATAGAGCCAACATAAAATTCAGGAATACCTAATACAGCTCTTCTAGCTAACATGTCCATACGCTCTAATTTCTCTGCTATGCTATTACGATGAAGAGGATTTGTAGTTGGTAAGAATTCTGGATAAATAAATCTATAATTTGTAAGAGTTGTTGGATCTAGTGATTCTTGATTAATTTGTTTTTTAGAATCATCATTTTCATGTTCTGTTTCATGTTTTGTTTGTGCCATAGCTGAGAAAGGTTTTACATCTTTACCTAAAAATAATACAGTAGTATTTAAATAAATTATATTATTTATTATCAGGGAAAATATATATACACTTACATATGATCTACAAAATAATATATAAGCGGTATTTGTTAAAAAACAATAAAACATACCTAATACTTTAACAAAATTAAGATTTTGCAATATTTTACGAGGTAAAACTCTAGATGTAATAACCATGTTTGGATGTTAAATTTTAATTACAACTTTCACCTCCCAATTAGTATTGGATTATCCTTTCCTATAAAATGATTGTTTCGTCCATAGGTTAATATACAGTTTGGAGAGGCTGCATAAGACCAATAAGACCTGATGCACAATAGACACGCACGGTACCCATCACTACCTCGAACAAGTGAGTTTCACGATTTGTTCGTTTTTAGGTCTTATATTTCGCTCTTTCCTTCGTGGTCCCTGATACCCCGGTGGCATAATATCGGTATGGAGGATCACCGGTACCACGGGGTCCCAGATACCCCGAATGCCGTAGTGTCGGTAAGCAAAGTGTGTAATCGGTGCTTCGGGGGTCCCTGAAACCCCGGATGCCAAAATGTCGGTATGCAAACAGTGTCACTGGTGCTTCGGGGTTCCAGACACCCCAAGATGATGTCATTTCGGTATGCAGAGATAGTCATTGGTGCTTTGGGGTCCCTGGCACCCCGGATGCTATATCATTGGTATGCAAAGTAGTCACCTGCGTTTAGGGGTCCTTAATACCCCAATATGATATCAGTCGGTACGCAGAGGGCTCCACTGGCGTATCGGGGTCTCTAACACCCCTGAATAATATCAGGTGCGTATGAAGAGGGCCCAGCCAGTATAATTTTTTTCCAGAGTTTATTTAATTTACATGATTTATTTCTTTTTGCTTGTTAAATAAGATCATCGAAGGGGAATAACATTTATGCTTATATCCCTTTTCTGGGTCTAAGCCGAGAATCCAATTTATTTTACTTTTTCCAGTTATTTATATAACTTTATCCCTCATTATAGGCCAAGGCCAGCACAGTATCCCTTAAATCCCTACATTCTTATCATCCCTACATTCTTTCCATCCCTACATTCTTTTCATCCCTATATTCTTTCCAACCCAACATTCTTTTCATCCCTACACTCTTCTCATCCCTACACGACTTTCATCCCTACATCCCTTATATATCTACACTCTGCTCATCCCTACACTCTTTTCACCCCTACACTCTTTTCATCCCTACATCCCTTATATCACCACACTCTTCTCATCTCTACATCCCTTAGATCTCTACATTCCTTACATCACTTCATCCCTTACATCGCTTCATCCCTTACATCACCACATTCTTGTCATCACTGCATTCTTTTCATCGTACATTCCTTTTATCCCTACGTTCCTTACATCTCTGTATCTCTTATATTAAATATATTACAAAGAATTCGAGAATTTCGCGAAAATTTCGAAAAACAGCGCCCCCTAGCGGCATAAATGCGAACTAAAGTTTCGATGTCGAATCAGCGCCATCTGGTTTTGGAAAAAGGAACTAAAGCTTGCTCAATTTTTGGCCCTCTGGCGGCAAAAATGTGAACTAAAATTTCGATGTCGAATCAGCGCCACCTGGTTTTGGAAAAAGGAACTAAAGCTTGCTCAATTTTTGGCCCTCTGGCGGCAAAAATGTGAACTAAAATTTCGATGTCGAATCAGCGCCATCTGGTTTTGGAAAAAGGAACTAAAGCTTGCTCAATTTTGGCCCTCTGGCGGCAAAAATGTGAACTAAAATTTCGATGTCGAATCAGCGCCATCTGGTTTTGGAAAAAGGAACTAAAGCTTGCTCAATTTTGGCCCTCTGGCGGCAAAAATGTGAACTAAAATTTCGATGTCGAATCAGCGCCCTCTGGTGGGGAAAAAAGAAACTTACCTTTACTTACCTTTACTTACCTTTACTTACCTTTACTTACCGTTACTTACCTTTACTCGAAGCAGTCTTTGTAATACATTTATTATAGAGGGATACAGAGATGTAAGGAATGACGGATGAAAGGAATGTAGAATGAAAAGGATGTAGGGATGTCAGGGATGAAGTGGTGTATGGAATGTACGGATATAAGGGATGTGGGGATATGAAAACAATGAAGGGATGAAAAGGGTGTAGGGGTGAAAAGAATGTAGGGAAGAAAAGAGTGTAGGGATGAAAAAAGTGTCGGGATAAAAAGAATGTAGGGATGGAAAGAATGTAGGAATGATAAGAATGTAGGGATTTAAGGGATACTGAGATGGCCATGGCCTTAAATGACGTAAATTAAATAAACACTGGAAAAAAATTATACTGGTTGGGCCCTCTTCATACGGACCTGATATTATCTAGGGGTGTTAGGGACTCCGTTACGCCAATGACGCCCTCTGCGTACCAACCTGATATCATATTGGGGTATTAAGGACCCCTAAACGTCGGTGAGTATCTTTGCCTACTAATAATATAGCATCTGGGGTGCCAGGGACCCCGAAGCACGAGTGACTATCCCTGCATACCGACATATCATCTTGGGGTGTCAGGAACCCCAAAATACCAATGATTCTCCATGCCTACCGACAATATTGTATCTGGAATTTCAGGGACCCCGAGTGTCCTCTTGGGGTGCCAAGGACCCCGGTTATCATCCCACGGGGTCCTGAGGACCCCCGTTGCCATTCTGGGGTTCTCAGGAACCCGGACACCGATTTTGGGGTTCTCAGGCACCCCGGATACAGTCTTGGGGTTCTCAGGAACCCAGAACCCAGCGACACTGTTTGCATACCGACATTTTGGAATCCGGGGTGCCAAGGACCCCGAAGCACCAGGGACTATCTCTGCATACCGACATGATATCATCTTGGGGTGTCAGGAACCCCGGAGCACCGGTGACACTGTTTGCATACCGACATTTTGGCATCCGGGGTGCCAGGGACCCCTATGCACCGACGACACTCTTTGCCTACCGACACTATGGCATTCGGGGTATCTCAGACCCCGCGGTACCGGTGACCCTCCATACCGATATGATGCCGCCGGGGTATCAGGGACCCCGAAGCAAATAGCGAAATATAAGACCTAAAAACGAACAAATCGTGAAACTCACTTGTTCGGAATAGTGATGGGTACGACCGGATCTAGCGAAATATATGACCTAAAAACGAACAAATCGTGAAACTCACTTGTTCGAGGTAGTGATGGGTACGACCGGATCTGTAGCGCATGCGCACTATAATTATTTATTATAAAACAAACTTGTAATGAATTAAGAAATTATTATTTTTTTCATATATTTGTAAATCATAAACGATTTCCAATCAATTACAGTTATCAGTTTTCACAAAATCTGTTTATTATAAAAAATTACTTAAAAGTTTCGGCTCACATCATAATTGAAATAAAATTGCTAATTAGAAAAGAACTAATTTGTCACAAACGTTAAAAACAGACTCACAATCAATCGCAAACAATTTACAAACGAAATACACTAAGAGAAATTAAAAATAATCATATTTTATTATTCCTTCCGGCTACCTTCATGTAGGTTATTTAGGACGCGTTTTATTAAGTGAAAACGATTCAATTATAATATGAATTATAACTGTATGTTTGTTTTTTTAAAAGATTTTAGCGTACAAGTATTTAATATAACCAATCATAAACTGCAGCCGTAATAAATTGTATTTATGTACATATTTAAATACATTTTAACTGATAAAGTTTAAAGCAATGTTCGATTTCAAACTTTGCTCAATGTAAATATTTATTGAAGTAACATTTTATATAATTATGTGATATTCTATTATTAATTCATTGAAAACAATTTCTTAGGAATACTCATGGGTAATATAGGAGAAATATGAGTTATATAAATATGTAACATACAAAATAAATTTGTGATGGGATAAGAAAAATACATGGAAAACTTGTTTAACTTAGGTCAAATGTTTTATTTATTTGTATAATAAATCTACAGTTTTGAAGGTAAGATTACTTTAATGCTAAATTGTGTTGATTATAAATATGAATAATTAATAATGCAATCTAAAATTTATGTTATAGATCTATCATGATATGATTTGTTTATCAATTTTCTTTTTGAAGGACCTGAAAAATAAATATTAAAAAGAAAGGAAAATCAATTTTACTTACATAATTAAAAAATAATAGGTTTAAAAATTTTTATTTTCGACTATGATAAAAACTATAATATTGGAATTAAGACCGAGGCTTCAAATATGTAATACATTTATTTGTTTACAAAAGGAAATAAATTTAATGAAAATTAGAATAAAGCTTTTGGAAGAAAGTATAGAGATAACAATAGAAAACAGTACAATAAAATGCTTAACAAAATTTATAAAATTAATACCAAATTCATTATCAGCATTAAATGTAACAAATAATTGGATCTGTTTTCGAGCACAAATAAAATCTGATTCTGCTTTTGGGTGTTTTCAAACAGGAATAGTTACTAATTTAGTACCAAACATTAATATTTTAAGAAACTCGACAGATTTAAAATTACTCAAGGAACAGAATTGCAATATAATATGTGCATGCTGTAAAAATGTTCTTTCTAAGCAACTATTTGTTAAAAGAATATTGCCGATACCAGATATGAATTATGATTTAAATGAATGGTTTTGTTGTAAACATAATCATATTACTGTTAGTCCAAATTTGATACCATCAGAATCTGATATTTTTTATGGATCAGTTTTTTTTATCATTCATACAAATTTATTCAATAACAATTTAAAAATAGAGGGAAACACTATTCTTTGTAACAGGTGTTTACAGCATGTAGGACAAACTTGTACAGACAGTTCATTTAAATTATGGAGTTGCTCTATAGATTACAATTTGCTGTGTGATTTTAAGATTAACAAATCTTTTGCTACAGATCCTTTTATTGATTTTTTAATAGCTATTAAAACTACAATGACTGGTATGTTTGGTGAGGAAATAATTTTACAGTCCTTTGTTGGGAAAAACATTTATTCCCTTATTCTGAAACCAATGGATTGGCATTTAAATTTATTAACTGAGCCTAAAGCAGTATCAGAAACTAATGTTGTAACCTTGCAAAACACATCTGTTGTCAAAGTGTTATACAAGTATGAAATCAGTAAAAGTACCATTGATTTTGTAAATAAAACATTTTGTGAAGTAGGATATTTAGTAATAAAAGCAGGTTTAGAGCACTTATTATCATCAACAAAACGATTTCCACAGCCTCATAGAACTGCTGCTGATTTTTATGTTGGA